TATGGATTACCAAAGATGTCGCTCATGCCTGAGTAGCAGTGAACTTATCAAATGTTAAAAAAAGTAAACCTCTGGGCCTACACACAAGTAATTTCCCCTTCCCCATAGACACCACAAACTCAAAGGTCCTTCTATGGAAGGACCCAAACATTCTAGTTTTAATTGTTAAAAGGTAGTCTTGCTCTAATCCCTTTGTGAATTGCTGACTCTGTCCAATTTTTCATCAGCGATTATTCCAACTCCAATGCACTGGAACATTGGGTCTGGGACCTACAAAAACACATATGGAGTAGATCATAACGTAACAGCTAAATTCATAACTGTCAGATCATTGAAATAAACCTATAAAATGTATTTCTATATGCTCTAGGGCCTTGACATTTTCAACATATTTCTTAAATGTATCTCAGCTCCTTCAAACTTTTGCCATTTTACACACCATCATTTATGTCTAGCTCACTATATCTAAGACCGTAAGAATAGGTCTCAGCTTCCCATGTTTACTTTTGTCCCCTGCAGTTAGTTTTTCACATGTAAGAATAAATGATCTTTTAGTGGCTCAGAGAGCTACTGAAGAGTTCCGTTTTGTAAAGAAATTGTGAATACAAGCTGCTTTTAAAACTGGAAAAAAACAAGGATCACAGCACATATCCACATTAAACAAACACTCCAAAGGCAAGGCAAGGGAGAATAAACGATCTTAAAGCTAAATCAGAATCTACATTTTGAAACAAAGTGTAGTCATAGGACCAACTTGAAATAATTATAAAATAGGGGTCAGGCAAATGAGTGTGTGTGTGTGTGAAAAATTGCTAAATATTCAAATTTTGGATCAATGTTCATACAATGGTTATCCCTACAACAACAAAAGAGGCAGTTTGGGACAGAATGGCCAGACATTCTAGTTATCATAGTCTTTCTGGGACTTAACGGGTTCCCAGAACATAAGACACCAATGCTAAAACTGGAAAAGTCCTTTCCAAACCAAAATGAGTTTTTATCTAATAGCCTTGTGCTTTTATCAGCGGATTGTTTATAGAAGGTTTCCAGGCTATGCCTCGGAAAAGGAGATTCAACTATAGCTTGCTAGTACTCATACACTGAGGTGCTGAAGGCAGAAGTTTACAGAAGCAAGGAAGCTAGGACATGAGGGATGAGTCGCAATAAAAGCAAGCTGCCCATAGACAGAGGTAGAGCTCAGCATACCTGCAGAAAGGTCCCTCAAATCTGTGACTGAATTCTAATCTACACATTCACCTGAGACAAGAGAAAGAAATACCACAAGAAGGAGGAGGAAATCCTGAATCCTGTGAGTCCACTCAAAACTGGACTGATACCAAAAGCAAGGCAGAGAACACCTCCTAGCTCAATGAACATTGAACAGAATCCTGAAATGGATGCTATCTTTATTAGCCCTAGAATAAAAACTACTTTGGACCCATCCTAACAAAAATTACAGAACCAAATCCATTTGGTTCCAAATAACCAAATATGAGAGAAAAAGCAGATTTTTCATAGGATTATGTAAGTATAACAAAATCCATAAATTCATATATCAAATAAATAGAAAAAGAACAAAAAATAAGAAATGCTCAAATCAGCAAGCAAAGAATTAAGATACCAGTTATAAATATTTCCCACATGTTCAATAGAAATGAGCATCAATAAAAGAAAAATTAGAAGCATGAAAATACTTTAGAGGAACTTCCAGAGAACAAAGAATATAGGACACAAAAATCACTAAAACTGTTTACAGACCAGAAATTGGAAAGGAAAACATCAGTGAGCTTGAACATAGAACAAAAGAAAATTATCCAAAATAAACAAAAGAAAAAATGGCAGAAAAAGTGAGCAGCAATGGGGAATGATATTACTGATATAGTATGCCTATAACTGGAACTTCAGGAAAAACAAAAAAGAAATATCTGAAATAATGATGGCTAATAATTTAAAAATTTTTGAAAAATCAAAGCACAAATAACAAAGAAGTTCAATTCTTCTGTAACAGAAGAAACTTCTTTTCCTTTGAAAAAATAGAAAGCTGTGGAGTTAAAAATAGTGGTAGACACAATATTTAAACAAACTAAAGCAAAAATGATCTCTATTCTCCATCACATAGAGAAGAAAGTAATCGTTACATATACTTCTCAGAAACTACTCAAGCCAAAAGAAAGGAGACTTCTTTAAATTACTGAGACAGGGCTGGCAGCATGGCCTAGCAGTGTGGCCTAGCAGTGTGGCCTAGCACTGTGGCCTAGCAGCTAAAGTCCTTGTCTTGAACGTGCTGGGATCCCATATGGGCGCCGGTTCTAATCCTGGCAGTTCCACTTCCCAGCCAGCTCCCTGCTTGTGGCCTGAGAAAGCAGTCGAGGACGGCCCAAAGCCTTGGGACCCTGCACCCGCGTGGGAGACCTGGAAGAGGTTCCTGGCTCCTGGTTTCAGACTGGCACCACACCAGCCGTTGCAGTCACTTGGGGAGTGAATCATTGCATGGAAGATCTTCCTCTCTGTCTCTCCTCCTCTCTGTATATCTGACTTAAATAAATCTTTTAAAAAAATTACTGAGACAAAAATGATCAACTAAGAATATAGGAAAAACACTTTCAAAAATTGAATCAGAAACTTTGAGATAAGCAAAAGGAGAGATGATGCATTACTATCAAATTTTCACTTTTAACATATTCTAGAGGAAAATACTTAGGTGCATTAAAAATGAAAATGGGTGAAAATCCAAATCTACATAAAGGTGTAGAGAACAGTAGAGCTAGGTATTATGTGAGTAAAATAAAGTACAGGGCTTTATTTTTATTCTAATCTTCTAAATTCTTTAAAATGTGGGTCATTCTAAGAAATTAAAGACAGAAGGAAATTCTATATTCTATGCCATTTCTAGAAACATAAGCATGGTAAAACAGCATAAAAGGAAGAAGGGAAGTGAAGGCCTGCTGTAGTAAGCAAAGAATGTGCAAGTATATGCTGCTAATCCCAGAGGCAACCACCGCATAGTGGTTAGAGCCAACCTGCCACAACTAAAACCCAAAACCAAAACACACACTTCATTGACAAATAACAATAGAAGAATAAAGAAACAAACAAAAAAAGGGTCAGGTTAACAAATACAACAATATAAAAAATTTATAACCCACATTATCAATAACTGCATTAAATATCAAAGATCTTGACACCAATTAAATGGAAATTATTGCAAGATAATAGATTGTACACTGCCTGAAAGACACCATTTAACAAACAGAACTTAAAAAATGAATAACAAGGGTGGCAAAAAATACACTGTGTCAACACTGATGAAAGCGGCTGTGCTCATGTATAACATTTTATAGCTCTAATATCAGTAATTGGAAATTTCAATAATTCACTCTTAATAAGTTAGAAAAAGTGATGATAAACAAGATGAACTACAGTATCAACCAACTTGACCCAATTAGCATATATAAAACACTCCATCCAACAGCAGAGTTCACACTGCTTTCAAGAGCACAGAACCATTCCATAGGACAGACAATACATCAGGTCATAAAACAAGTCTCAATAAATTTAAGAGGCTTAATAAAGTACAGAATCTGACTACTTGAGAATTAAATTGGAACCCGGTAACAAATATATATCTGTAAAAACTCCAAATATTTGGAAACTGACCTATAGGTTAAAGAGGAAATCACAAAGGATATTAGAAAATGCACTGAATTGAATGAAAATAAAAACACAATATATCAAAATGTGTGGAACACAACTGAAGCAGTATGTAGAGAGCTTGAGCCACTAAATGCGTGGCTACATTAGAAAAGAAGATAGATTTCAATTCACTGATTTCAGTATCCTCTTTAGAAAAATAGAAAAAGAGGATATTAAATCCCAAGTAAGCAAAAGGAAAAAATAAAAATAAAAAAGTGAAGCTGCATTTATTCAATGCTTCCTGTGACTCACAGAACATCTTTTCAAACCTGGTCACAACCTTAAGAGTTAGCTGTGACTATTATCCCAAATCTCAGTTACAGAAACTATACCTTGTTGAACATCAACAGTTCCTCAAGTTCATATAGCTAAAAGCCAGTGAAATGAGCTGAACTCAAATCTCTCCTATATAATAACTTCAACATCCTCAACATTTTTTACTGAAAAAGTATATACTGTTAAATATATTTTACTCTCTTTATGCTTGATTATTCTCTATTGCAGTTACTCAAGAGTGTTTTTTTCAAAGTGCATGGAAAATTGAATTAAACTCTTATTTTGGCACAAAAGTAAAAAAAAAAAATTGAAATCCATGTATACGAAAGGTCTTCAAAAAGTCGTGGAAGTGCACATTACAGAAAAAACTGCAGATTTCTTTAAGTACCCTCTTACTTTATACATGTAAATGTACACACACATGCACGAATGGTTTGTTAAATCTAGATCTAAAGGAACATTTTCCTAGCACCTTGCAGAACAGTTTAGAGTTCAGCCCTTACCATTAGAATCTCTGAAAATTGTTCCAACAATGATATGATCCACCATGAAGGACATCTGCAAAAACAGTCAGTCACTAGGGCTTATGAAAAATGCCACGTGTTCCTGCCAGTCTTTCAAACTACTTGTCCATGAGTTACAGAGATATGGGTCAACAGCTGCAAGTGTCACAGTGTATTCCACGGGCACCATAACTCACTCAAGTGTTAATGTTTTCACAGAGACAACTCCAACCTCCCTAAAACCTGTTGAAAACAAACCTGTACTCTACATGAGAAGTGCCAACTCTTGGCCAGAATACCCCATTTTGAGGATTGTTGCCAAACTCCATCAGGTCTCTTTGCTTGTCTTTTGCATTTTGTTCACATTTCTCGCCTTCATTCTTTAAAGGAAAGTATCATTTGAATTTCCCTTCCTTGCTCCACTGGATCTAGTTTCTGACTTCAAATGTTACACTCTGGCATGGCTACCATATTGGATAGTGCTGATTAAACTATTCAAAAGAAGTACACTTAAATAAGAGACTGATAGAATTAAGATTCCTTACGAAGAACTACACCACTGTAGTAAAATGGGGAAAATTGGTCAGGAGGTGGGAGTTCGGGGATCTATACGAAATTGTACCACATAATTCAAACTTCAAAATAAAAAAATATTAAAAATAAGTACAGTGAGTGATATTTAATATAACAGCAACTGTTAGCATCTAAGAATACTCAAGAGAGCATTAGGATTAATCAGGATTAACTAGTACAATAGTGGTTCACAACAGAGTTGGCACACAATGATGAGGAAAAGATTGCTCTCAACTGTTTCACTATCATTTGAGAGGGTGCAGAAACATGAAATAAGAAGACATGGATAGAATAAAGGACATAAGAAGAGTGTGAGACGGCGGGCTTTGATTGATATAAGACTAGAGAAGAAAAATCGTACCACATTTTGAAAGCTATAGGGCGCATTCAGATTCTTAACCAGAGGATACTTTGGTCAGGTCTCCAATTTCAGAAGTTTTTTCCACCATCATTGAAGAAGGTTATGCTTAAGCACTAGTGCCAGAGGCAGGCTGGAAGCTCAGTGTTGGGACCTGTTTGGAAAATAAACTGTGTTGAAATTAAAAAAAAAAAAAAGAGCTAGTGCCAGACAACAGGAAGTTACTGAAGGCAATCTGCTATGAAGAAATAAGCATAATAATTAAGGCAGAGGACACAGAAATAAAAGGGAATATTGCTACATAATATATCAAGGAAGCCAAGTCCACTAGATTGCTACTGAGTTTAGCAAGAAAAAAAAATGCAAGCTTCTGGGTTTTTTAGTCAAACATATGAATAACTGAAGAGGGGCAGAATTCAGTAATAGATATAACGAGTGTACATGAGACATGCAAATATTATGTCCAGTAGGCATGTGTATTTACAATTTTTTAAACAGGAAAGTGAGAGTAAATAGTAACAAGAAAAGTTTAAATTAATTGATGCTTACTTAATTGCCTTTTCCCCCAAGTTCTACGTTTTTTAAAAGGATTTATTTATTTTTAGTGCAAAGTCAGACATACAGAGAGGAAGACAGAGAGGAAGACCTTTTGTGCAATGATTCACTCCCCAAGCTGCTGCAATAGCCAGAGCTGAACCGATCCAAAGCCAGGAACCAGGAACTTCTTCCAGGTCTCCCATGTGAGTGCAGGGTCCCAAGGCTTTGGGCCTTCCTCAACTGCTTTTCCAGACCACAAATAGGGAGCTGGATGGGAAGTGAGACTGCCAGGGTTAGAACGGGTGCCCAAATAAGATCCTGGCACATTCAAGGAGAAGACTTGAGCCACTAGGTCACCACACCGGGCCCCAAATTCTAATTTTTAAAGCACAGTTTAGAATCCTAAGCAAAAGGAAGAATACTTTCATGGACAGTTATTTTTCATCAGTACAAGCATAACTTAGAAAACACATAGCACAATACCAGATCTCTCTCATCCTATTCCACATCACCTCAAAGGCAAATGTTTCTTGGATCCCCAGAATATGAGTGGATGAGTCAGTGCGACCTGGTACAAAAACTGACCATACCACACTAACCATGTCATGATTCTCTACACGTAAAACACATGACTCCTCATTATAAAACAAAACATACTGCCTAATGCAAATGTTTTCTTTCACCCTCAAAAACCTGATAAAGCCAATGAAAGAGACAGTTTTGTTTGCTTTCATATTGATGATGATGACACTAATATATTCAATACTTTTCCGTGGTCATATTTAGTCATTGGTAAGTCAGAGTAAGTATTTTGACTCTTAATCCTGTTTATTTTTTTTTCCAAGATAACACAGACATTCTCCCGGAATGGCACATTTAAGGAGGATCTGAAATCTATTCCCCATAACGGCTTTACTGTAAGAGCCATTTAAGCTGCTCAGTAATCCTCCCAGACTTGTCCATGAAACCTCAGCTGGAAACATTAGAACTTGGACTCTACCTTTGACATTTGTTTTAACCCCTTTGATGGTTAGTGATATGAAGGAAATATAGTCCCACCATCTAGTGTTTCAAAACCAAACACTGAAGAGTGACCCACAAAAGGTGTCCAGTACCTGCTCAGCTCTGCGGGCTCATTAAACACTGACCCCTGTTTTCTGTTCATCTTCTTGTGAATAATTGACTGCTTTTATAAGCATTTCCATAACTGTTATTTTACTTGTTCTATGAAGATACCCCTAGATTTCAATCTATGTTGGACCACCTACTGAGACCCTGCTCTTATTTGTACCAAATGATAGCATCATAAATTACAGTCTGAAAAAGCTAATATTTCAGAACCCATAATTCTTCATCGAGTTCTCTATTGTGCTACACAAATTGCCACATGGTGTAGATTTTTGGAAATTGAAATATTACACACACACACATATATATTCTTCCATTTAATGTATTACTTTTGAGTCTTGCAGTATGTCAAGTATATAATAAGCAGAATTGACAGGAATATTTTCTAGTGTGAAGAATTAGGACATGATTCTTTTATAAAAGGAAGAAAGGACACTAATTTAAATTTCAGCAGAAAGAGCAACATATAAGGCGACAAGCTGAAATGTTTTATCCTTATCTACAAAAAAATCCCAAGTTGTAAAGATCAAAATTACTTCCTCTCCGTCTAGATGCTTCAGTAGTAGCATTATTATATATAATTATTTGCCTAAGCGTTGTCATGTTGCACCATCACTAGTTTTGCCTTAGAGATTTCTAAGTAGATGTTCCCCAAAAGAAACACAAAGAAAACCAGAAAAACTGCCTGGTGTTGTCATCTCTTTGAATAAATGCAGTTTCATTAGGCTTCTAGCGTGTTCTTCCCTCTGGACAGGGGTCACATGATGCTCCCATACTTCTCAGATCTCATTTCCTCCCACATCCTCCATCTACACTCAGCTCTTCTCAGATCACTGACCACACTGCACTCACTGGGTCCTTCAGGGTTTCTTCAGGATACCTTCTTCCGCTCACCCCCTCACCACCACTCCCTTTGAACTGCTACTGCAATTATTATTATTTTTTTAACATCACTCTCTTCATTTCCTGTGCAGGGCTCATCATAAGTGTTATTTCTGCCCCTCTTGCCATCTACCTCTAGGTTGCACTCTGCTGTGTCGGCTGTCACATAGAAACTGTGACTAGAACTATGCCTGGTATATCAGTATGGCAGGAATTTCTACTCGAATTTTCAGTTGCTGCCTTTTACAACTTATCTGTCCTCCATATTCTAAATGCAAACATTCTTCTACAACCAGGGGAAACCTCATTACCAGAGATTGTTCACTAGGAGAAGGATAACAGAACTTGAAAGAAAAATTAAAACCCATTCTTCCAATGCTCATCCTTTTAATGAATGTCTAAATCTAAAATATGTTCTTCTATTTGGGGAACAAATAATTGTGTAGTGATAACTTTTCAAATACATTATCAGAATGGAAAATGAGACCTAAAACTATCAGGGTGACACAAATTAAAAGTTAAAATCACATAATTTGTGGGATTCTAGAAAGATCTTGTCTCATTGGTGGAATGAAATGTCATTAATATCTGTTCCACTTCTCTCTATCCCCCAGATTACTTACTCTTTAAGCAAGAGGAAAGAAATTCTACAAGATACGATTTTAACTCAGAGGAAGTAATTTAACTTTACACAATTTTAATAAAATCAATTCTGTTTGGTTTCCCTTCATGATAGACAATAGCCTGAGTTTCTCTTTTAAAAAAAAAAATTCTTATATTCTAGAAATCATTTGCAAGCCATCAGTAGCTTACGTTTCTTCATCTCCACTTTTTAAAAAATCCCATTTCATAAGTATAACTGTTTCTTGTAATGGAAAAGACATGCTCAAAGCACTTCATGAAAGCCGAAGTGTGCCAGGATACTGACTCAGCAATTCCAGAAAGTGGCTAAGACCAAACAATCTCACCAGTTTAGACTTCTTGTGAACTGATAGGCCAAGGCTCTTTCTAGCCATTTCCTCCAACTTCCCCATCCAAGCTGCTTCCCTAGATAGTTCTAGGTTATGTTCAGAGAGTAATCTCAAATCGTTACTCCAAAGCAAGGGTTGACAAAGTGAAGGGCCAGAAGATGAATCCTTCCAGAGGTGGTGAGTTACACAGGCTCGGTCCCAGCCCCATCACTCTGTTGCATTGGGGACCATTCCATAGGTAGTGAACATGAGCAGGCATGTTCTCAATCAGTTCAGGCTACTAGAGTGCAGCTCCGTCGCCTGGATGGTTTATGTGCAAAAGATTAATTTCTCCTCACGGTGCAACCTGGGAAGTGGGTGGTGAGAAGGAGGAGGGGTTTTCTGAGCTACAAACTGCTGTCTTCTCAATTGGCAGAATGAACACTGAGCTACCTGCAGTCTCTTGTATAGGGGTACCAATCCTATTCATCAGGGCTCCATCCTCATGATCTAATTACCTCCCAAAGGCCCCAGCTTAGGATTTCAAACATATGAATTTCAAGAGGGACACAAATATTCAGTCCATTGCAGTATGTTAACATAAAAGTTAATTTACAAAATCAGGCTAGGGGTCAGATGTGTGTGACAGAATATAGTTTGCCCAACCCCTGTATTAGATGATTACTGCCTAGGTGGATTTGTAATGGAGAATAGGCCATAGTATAGAAATCAGTCAGCAAACACTTATTAAACACCTACCAAATGCCAAGATTTCCAGACAGTGTTGTTAGTAAGCATTTGGTAAGTGAGAAAACTGAAACCAGCTAGTAAGTGGGGAGGCCAGACCATGTACCCACACTCTTGATGCAGGTTCAGCACTCCAAGATTGACGCCAGGCCAAAAACAATTTGTTTTTGACTCTTGCTTTGCCTGTTTACTAACTATGTGCTTCATGAAGAATTGTTAGGAGTCTTTTTATTGTCTCAGGACTAAGAAAAACCACAATTAGTGCTTAAAACAGTACCTTGGGCTCAATGCATATAGTTAGCTTCAAGAAAAAACTTCTAAACATATAGGGTTCAAGACAGTTTTTTCAAGCTCCAAAAATACGAGAATCAATCCTGCTAATTTTTTAATGATTTCAAAGAGTTTAACAAGACATGCTTCTGCAATGTGTA